TTCATGCTCGAGATCGAAGGTCCTACGTTTGGTTGCTGATTGAGGAGTTTGTGGATGCAAATTGCTGATGAGTCTTATATTAGGATGTAAAATGCCGTCCAGTGGTTGTAGGTTTTCTAATGGTCGTCTATCAGTGACTCATTCAATTTTAAAACAGCCATCTCTATAATACTATAATGCGAAATCGTACAATATGCTCACTAGTGACTAGCTTCATGAGGTAGTTTCTCCAAGTTCTAGTGAGAAGACGTGTAACTTAACAATCTTCACAACCCCGTAATGTATCATAAAATTATCATCGAAATATCTACTTCCAATGAATTTGTTCAGCATTAATTACTAACACACTGTTACACCTGCAGGTAACACGTCAGCTTGATATACTTGAACTATTACGAGTTGTTTACCTTAGTCGGAAAACGAGAGCGAGGATCTAGGATCCGGTGACACGACATGTTACTCAAATCCGATTATCCCAATCCCCATATTGAGAAAAAAGAAGAAGACATGATATGAAGTAGAACCTGTATTCTACAAGCATCCAGAAAGTACGAGGTCTGAATCCAGAAGGGAATCAGGATACCGGACTAGTGATCCGGGACCGGGTCCTGCTGCTGGTCATAAAACGTCACAGATAATGCGTATCTATACATTTCGGTCGAATGAGAAACAGCATCGAATTCTGTGACATTGACAGTTAAGACGACTAATACTGATATTGATAATCAGGACAACCAATAAGAAACAACCTTGGAGTACGTGACATTGATATCTAGGACGACCAAAAAATTGACCAATACGAATAAACCAATAGGAATTAACGAAACATTCTCTTACGATATTGAATGAATATCCTAACACACACATAATGAAATACACCACAGATTTAATAAGATTTTTTTTTTATTTAAAATCATGAATGTGCTAACCAGTGACTAGCTTCGTGAGGAATTTTCTCCGAGTTCAAGTAAGGAGCTGTAAGCAGTGGAGCTTAACTCTGTCGGGTGTAGGCAGTAACCGCTGCAGATAATGGATGAGGTTGTGCAAAATCCTTAGATTGACCAGAGCTAGACATTAACACTGTTGGATGACAGCCGGCTCAGTGGTTCAGAGGTTGAACATTGGTATGAAAGCTCGAATGTCTTGGATTCGAATCCTGTGGATAGCAAGAGTCATGGATGTGCAGTGCTGATGAGTCCCATACTAGGACGAAATGGCCATCAATTGTAAACTGATTTGTATAATAATTTTAAAATTCCCTGTTGAATATTTTATAAAAAAGCAAACAATATTTGAACGTTTTAAATCACCAATCAATTATTGTCAGACCACCATAAGAAATCTGGAAGCACTGAAAGACTGCCGTTTTGTCCTGGTATGGGACTCATCAGTGGCAGTGCGCATCCACGACTCCTGCACATCGCATGACTCAAACCCGGGACCTTCGGTATTGTGCGCGAACGCCTAACATCTGGAATACTGGGCCGGCACCCAACGGTGGTAATGTCCGACTCTGATTGATCTAGAGATTTTGCGCGCGACCTCACCCATTTGTCTTCGGTTGTTTCTGCCTACACCCGACAGTGTTGAACTCCACTGGTCACGTCTTCTCATCACTAGAACTCCGAGAATTTCTTCACGAAGAAGCTAGTCATCATTAGTGAGCACATTTTACGATATTTTCAATTAGAGTTATGGAGATTATAGTGTTTTTTTAACACATTTTAAATCATCAATCAATCATTTGAACGAACAAACAGTTTTTTTTTCAATAACTTTGTCATCAGGTTCTACAGTTGCAGTCGACAGGATCAGAACCTCTCATCCTATCCTATCTGGTATTTCCTTTCTGTGAGTATATCCGTCTTAAATTACCCCATTCATTTTTTTCGAATTTGCATGAATTATTATTATTATTTTTCTAAATAATTTGACCACACTACTCATATTATTATAATCACACAACGTTATTATTATGATTATCTCCATTTTCGAGACAAAATTTCTCCTTAAATGACATTTTATTCACATACGATTTAGTAGGCGATTTTATAATGGATTACAACTGGACACTGCACTGTGGAACTTTCTGATCCATTCCAGTGTACAAATGACACAGACTTGAAGTGTAACAGTTGAAAACTTTCACCATTTTTTCTAATATGCAACTTTGTCGATTGAATTACTTACTTACTTACTTACGCCTGTTACCCCCAGTTGAGTATAGGCCGTCCACAAGTTTTCTCCAACCAACTCTGTCCTGGTCTTCGCTTTCCAGTTCTATCCAATTTTTGTTCATTCTTCTCATATCTTCCTCTATTTCTTGGCGTAACGTGTTCCTTGGCCTTCCTCTTTTCCTTTCACCTTGAAGGTTCCCAGTCTCCCACAATGTACGAACGTTCCATGCACCTAAAAGAATGGTTTCTCTGGTTGTCAAAAGAGGCATCGGCCCCTTGACTTCCGAGGGAACTCGGTTTTCATCACGCGACGTCATAATTCTTCTTCCAACTCCCAGGACAGAGTGAAAATAGTTTGAATTATTTCTTCTAGTTAGCGTTTTTTTGGCAAGTTAGTTTTTAGTTGGGATGAGGGGCGCCAACCCCCTCCTCCTTAATCTCGGCTTGGGACCGGCAGTAGCCCAGAAGGGTTCACAGGCGGAGTTGATTGAATAAATACATACGCTTTATTCTGGCCTTTGTAAAATAACACAACAATTATTATGAACTTACAATTGTCTAGAGGAGCAGATGACGATGTTATTGATTTTTGATTTGTATTCATTCCCGAATGTAGGACCTTCGATCTCTCGCACGAATGCCTAGCCTTTAGACCACCGAGCAGACCAGCATCGAACAGTGTTAATGTCAAACTTTGATCAATCTAAAGTTTTTGCACAACCCTGACCCACTGTCCTCAGTAGTTACCGACTACACATAACAGGAATAAGCTTAACTGGTTACGTTTTTGTTACACTCGTCTCTAGGTATGCTTAAAACTATTATGGGTTAACCTTAGTCGATAAACGAAACTGAGACAATGAACCAGTGTCCAGATAGGTTACTCTGATCCGTTGACCCAAATGAACTAACGAGAAGTCTTGATATAGCGTAGAAAGTATATTCTGCAAACACCCGACAAGCACAATGAATGCAAGCACACAAGTCGCATTTATTTATACTCCATAGAGATGTCCTTGGGACAGTCACAAAAATAGCACACTAAAATAACACAGTAACCAATCACAGCCATGGATTCTCCTGGTGGGAAATGTGATCTCAAGGTCAACGGATCCGCCCGTAAAACAAATCCAAAATAAAGTTATTTATCAAGCGAATTCTGGGGATCTAACATCCTCAACAGTTTTTTTTTTAATATAACGATTGTCAATTTCAAAAAATATAAAATATTTGAGCAAACAATTACTTTTTAACAAATTCGTCATCACACTCTTTACAGTTTTACAAGTCTATAATTATTATTGTTATTTTAAAAAAGTCAAAATAAGTCACATGCATTAATTCACCTGACTATGTTACATGTTAGGGAAATGGTGAAAGTTTTTCCAACTAATACAGTACAAATTCTTTAATTCATTTGATAATTTCAACTCATTACTACACATGATCTTATCTCGGAGAGCCACCAGGATATCAGGTACGGGATTGAGCCAAACTGTTCATGTCGAAATGCTAACATATGAGCAGTCTCCTTGGTTCTATTGAAAACCAATGTAAAATTGCCCTTGACAAAATAGAGGGTTAATTTATAATAATTGTAAATGTCAACTCGTTACTAATACACACACTTTAAAACATTTGCACCACATTGAACTACCATGTTTGTATGCAAATATTCCGGGTAGTTTGAACAGTTTTGTATAATTCCAGTCAGTTCCCAAACAATAATCTTTAGTTCTATTTGAACTATTGTCATTTTGAGATGGTGGAGAAATCGTAGCTTAGGTGTATGATTAAATGTGGAGTTTCATTCTCTGGGTAGGATGTTTTCGTTTGTAGAGCTTACATTGTTCTTCTGCTGAACAACATCCTCATCAGCAACACAAATGTCAAGTAGGATTTCTCCACGTATAACTCGCCAATAACAATTAATCAAGTTTAAGGTCAGAAAGACAAGTTATAAGTCATTTATGTAGAAATTCGGATACTTCACTTCTACCTGAAGTTTGTACAATGAAAGTTCCATAACCAAAAGAAAACAACCAGCTTGGTGAATGAACTAATGCCATTTACTACTTTGATGAGTGAACATCATATGTAACATTTGGATGAACGAGGTAGTGTAAATGTTAGGATATTCATCCAATAGCCTAAGAGAATTTTTGGTCAAATCCTATTGGTCGATTTTTATTGGTCAAAATTATGGTCGTTTAAACTGTCAAAGTCAAATATTTCAATGTTGTCTCTTATTGGTCATCCGGACTGTCAATGTCACTTCAAATGTTCTTTCCTATTGGTCGTCCTAAACTGTCAATGTCACAGAATTCGATGCTGTTTCTCATTCGACCTAAATGTATAAATACGCATGATCTGTAACGTTTATGACCATGACCGGAACCAGGGCTCGGTCCTGGATCCCTAGTCCGGGATCCGGATTCTCTTCTGGATTCGGACCTCGTACTTTCTGGATGCTTGTAGAATACAGGTTCTACTTCATATCAAGTCTTGTCTTCTTTTACTCAATATGGGGGTGGGGATAATCGAATTAGAGTAGCATGTCGTGTCTCCGGATCCTCGATCCTCGCTCTCGTTTTCTGACTAAGGTAAACAATTCTTAATAGTTCAAGTATATCAAGTTGATGTGTTTACGTGTATGCGTAACAGTAAAGCATCACGAATCTAACTGTTAGCATCTTCTGAAAGTTTATTTGTATTTATATAAGCTGTTTATATTCTGTTACACTTCTTCTACACCTTATAGTACAAACAACAATAATAATAATGATTTAGGAAAAATCAATATCTGTTATTTCATAAGTAAATATATACGTATTGATCAGTATAGTTTCAATAAAATTTGATTTCATAATAATGTTTTAAAGTCACATTGATTACAATTCATCTTTTGGTAAATTCTCTAAATGTCTTCCATAATCTGTTGCTTGACTTCCAACCCATAAATCATGTTGTTGAATCACTTCATCTTTTGTTAATAAACTATCTTTATCTTTATCAGTTTCATTGAATAAATGTTCCATTTCATCGGTAGCTGTTTTATCAAAACCTGTTAATGGAAAAAGAAAAACGATTTCAAATAATTGAAAGCTTCAAATGAATAATAAGAATATAACACGAAATAATGGTCTATAGAGGTGATTTAAATTGAACAACTACAGAAAAATAGAGACTATTAGAAAAGCAGATGTTTCATCATTTCCGTGAAAATTTGTTTTATTTAAATTATGCTACTTTTTATTAGTTAGTAGTGTAACTCATTAAATAAAGTTTTTGCTCTGAAACAACACTGACTTCAGAGTTTGGAGAATAGGAATAAAAATCATGAGAATGCCTAAATGGTAGTTTGTGAAATAATTTTACAGTTCGATGAAGGCAGTAGACAGTGAAGGATACTGTTTTAGATAAGCAATATTCTTCATTAAAATTGAATGCTGAAAAATGTTTTATTTCATATGTTCCCTTAAGAAAAAATGTTAATGGAACTTTATAAGATTTTATACAGACTTCATAGTGATGATGTCAGGAGTTTGTCAACTACGTTTTAACAAATTTTAGGATGATTTATAAATCAAAGCTGTAGTAATACTGTGGTGTGTGCTACTTATAAGTAGTATATGACGTGAGTGTCAACGTAATGTCTGGCAGCAGAAGATGGGGGAAGATCAAGAAAAGAAGAATGGGAACACAATGGAATTTGTATGAAATGCATGAATAAGTGAAATGTCAGACAATGGATTGATGATTGATTGAAGATTTGCAAATTAACCGTTTACGATATGGTTTTCCTATTTTACTGATTAACTCTGTAATTTTTGTTAAATACAATTCGGTCGCCCTCACCTGTGTTCTCCTTCACTACAGTACAACACTTTCGATCCAGATTTTTATTGCTGACAGGTAAAATCTCATAAACAGTATCACGTTTACTAACGACAAATGTGTGTATTAAAATTTACTAGGTCTCATAATTGATAATAAAGGCAATCTGGTTGTCAGTTACTGTCAGAGTATCGTAAACCATCCCGGTGATCATATTTTGCATTTTAGGCATAAGAACTTAGTTTTTGAAGAATCGACTACACATTGTATGTCGGTCGATTTATGATAAACTGATATGTGAACTCAGAACAACTATCAACCAACATGAAAGTCACAATTTTCAATACAAAATGTCAAGATAGTTCTGTTGTGTGAAGCGGAAATTTGGACAACTACGAATACCATCATCCAGAGGATAAAAGTGTTTATTAACGCTTGTCTACGCAAGAACTGTTGGTCAGACAGCATCAAAAACAACCTAATGTGGGAAAGAACAAACCAGATTTCAGTTGAGGAAGAAATTAGGAAGAAGTGCTAGAAGCGGATAGGATACACATTGCAGAAAGCACACAATTGCGTCACAAGACAAACACTCAAGGCCGAAGGAATTGACGGACACCAAAGTACACTTTACGCCGAGAAATGGAGACAAACATGAGAATAATGAACAACAGTTGGATAGAACTGGGAAAGAAGGCTGAGGACAGAGTTGGTTGGGGGAATGCTTGTCAGCGACATATGCTCCGTTTGTGAGGTAACAGGCATAAGTAAGTAAGTAAACGTAAAATATTCTTTACTTTGTCATTCATTGTAATGCGTAAAGAAGCTGCTATCAATTGATGTGAATATCATATCATGAAATCGGAAAACTATATGAATGATTTATAAAACGTTTATGTTGGGGACGTTAGATCCACAGTACTCGCTTGATAAATGTCTTTCTTTTGGATTTTATTCATGAACTGATCAGTTGACCTTGGGATTTCAATTCCCACTAGGAAAATCCTTGGCTGTGATTTGTTGCTGTGTATTTTATTGACTCTCCCAAGGACGTTTTTATGATGTATAAATAAACGAGATTTGTGTGCCTGATTGCATTGTGCTTGCTGTGTGTTTGCAGAATATACTTTCTACGCTATATCAAGACCTTTCTTTAGCCGTTTCAGATCAGGGTAGCCTACATGTGTTAGGATATTCACCAAATATCCTATGAGTACTATTTTTTTGGAAGTATAATCCTATTGGTCGATTTCTGTTGGTCAAAATTACTGTCATTTCAACTGTCAAAGTCAAATACTTCAATGTTGTCTCTGATTGGTCATCCGGACTGTCAATGTCATTTTAAAATGTTCTTTCTTATTGGTTGTCCTAAACTGTCAATGTCACAGACTTCGATGCTCTTTCCTATTCGACGACCTAAATGTATATAAATATGCACTATCTGTAAGACTTCATGAATCCGTTCATTCCTGCCTACCTCTCTTCCGTAGTACTCGGCGCAATAAACAACTTCATCTAACGGTGTTGCGTTCTGATATATAGGAGATTTCGGTCGTATAGGAATATTTGAATTCAGACGTCGGTAGGATTTGAATAGCTACGTAGCAGCTTTATAACAACATGGACACTGGTTTATTGTCTCATTCGCATTTATCGACTAAGGTGAACCCGTAATAGTTTCAAGCATACTTAGTGATGAACCTAACAGTTTATTGATTAAAAGTAACTGAGTTTCGCTTGGACAGTCTAATTCAAGTTAGTTCAATGAAAAAGCAGAATTATTAGGGGTTCTCACAACAACCATTCATTAACCAATGTTATTTCAACAATGTTAATAAGCTATTGGTTGAATATATATAGTTTAATTTCAATTTTCAATAAACTCTTTCTCATAATGATCATTGAATACATTTTCACTCACCTGGTGTAACCCATAATGCCATTTCCGATTCATCTAATTTCCCATCATTATTTAGATCGTAATTTTTAAAATTCTCCCTTTCTATGATCAATGCATCTTTATTCATTTTATCTGTTGAGTGAAAAAATCATAAGCGTAATTTTAAAAGTGTATAATTAGGCGGTTTATTAAAATAAAAATTTTACTTCTCCACTACAAATCAATAACTCAGTAGTGTTAATGTATTTGTCACATCCTATTCAAGAAAATTTGGGATGAGGAACAAGTACCATCAGCTTGGAAAGAAGGATACCTGATCAAAATACCGAAGAAAGGCGATCTCAGCAAGTGTGAGAACTATAGAGGCATCACTCTTCTTCCAATACCAGGCAAATTCTTCGACAGGGTATTGTTAAACAGAATGAGGGACTTTGTAGACGTCCAACTATGAGACCAACAGGCTCGATTTCCTAAGGATCGATCGTGTACTGACCGAATTGCTACATTACCGATCATTGTGGAATTCTTATGATGGATTCAACTGCAAAATCGTGAACGGAGGACAGCTAACAGACTCTTTCGAGGTGAAGACCGGTGTCAGGCAAGGTTGCTCACTCTCACCCTTTCTCTTTCTCCTGGTCATCGACTGGATTATGAAGACGTCGACGTCTGGAGAGAAGCACGGTATTCAGTGGACAGCTAGGACGCAGCTGGACGATCTGTACTTCGGAGATGACCTGGCTCTTCTATCGCACACGCAACAACAAATGCAAGAGAAGACGACCAGTGTAGCAGCAGCTTCCGCAGCAGTAGGTCTCAATATGCATAAAGGGAGAAGCGAAATTCTCCGATGCAACATAACATGCACCAACCAAATCACTCTTCATGGAGATGCCTTGGAGGACATTAACACCTTTACATATCTTGGCAGCATCATCGACAAACAAGGTGGATCCGATGCAGATGTGAGGGCGCGGATTGGCAAAGCGAGGGCTGCATTTCTACAGTTGAAAAATATCTGGAACTTCAAACAACTTTCAACCAAAACCAAAATCAGGATTTTCAATACAAATATCAAGACAGTTCTACTGTATGGAGTGGAAACTTGGAGAAGTACGAAAGCCATCATCCAGAAGATACAAGTATTTATTACCAGTTGTCTACGCAAAATACTTCTGATTCGTCGGCCAGACACCATCAGCAACAGCCTACTGTGGGAGAGAACTAACCAGGTTCCAGCAGTGGAGGAAATTAGGAAAAGGGCTCTGGAAGTGGATTGGATACTTATTGAAGAAAGCGCCCAACTGCGTCAAAAGATAAGCTCTCATTTGGAATCCTCAAGGCCACTGGGAAAGAGGAAGACCAAACAACATATTACGCCGAGAAATAGAGAAAGATATGAGAAGAATGAACAAAAATTGGACAGAAAGAGAAAGGAAGGCTCAGGACAGATTTGGCTGGAGAAACCTGGTCGATGGCCCACGCTCCATTCGCGTGGCAGGAGGTTAAGTAGTACTGTGTTCGATGTACGATCAAAACGTGCTGAGCTGTGTTCATTGTGTAGGGTTCTTTTTAGGGCAACTTACTGTTAGGCTATTCATCCAGTATTCTAACAGAATTATTGGTCGATTGCTGTTAGTTAATTTCTATTGGTCAATTTTATGATCATCCTAGATATCAATGTCACGTACTCCAATGTTGTTTTCGATTAGTTGTCTTAACTCTCAATGTCACAGACTTCGATGCTGTTTCCTATTCGACCGAAATGTATGAATACGCATTATCTGTAACGTTTTATGACCCGGATCCCTAGTCCAGGATCCTGATTTTCTTCTGGACTCGGATCTCGTGCTTTCTTGATGCCTACAGTGCCGAAGGTCCTGTGTTCGAATCCTGCGGGGTGCAGGAGTCGTGGATGCACACTGACACTGATGAGTCCCATACCAGGACGAAACGGCCGTCTTCCAGTGCTTCCAGGTTTCTAATGGTGCTCTGTCTAACATTGATTGAATCATGATTTCAACATATGTGTAACTTACCAATCTTCACAACCCCATTAATGACAATAACATTCAGCAAAAAAACAGGAACTGCTCACCTACTTAATACTCAACAATGTTTTTAAAAACAATATGCATGAAACTTACCATCAGCTAAATATTCCACTTCACTAATAAAACCATCTTTATCTTTATCAAAATCTCTTAAAGTATGCTTTAATTCATACGGTGCCATATGACGATAATTATGTGGATGTTCAAATGCTACAAATTCCATTTCATTTAAATAACCAGATTTATCTTGATCCGCCGAGTCGAATTTCAATTTTTCTTCATCTAATGACTAAATTTGATTCATTTTTTAAACAAATATGGAAGAAAAAACAAACGAGAAATTTTTTCAAATTTAATAGACCGCTCTAATTAAATTTTCTACTGATGTAGTCTGTTTCATTTTAATTATAATATGTAAGCGAATGGTGACCAATAATGCAATTCCGACCGTCATGTACTACCTGATAGGTTGAGCTAAATTAGTCATATTGTGGTGCGAGCTACTTATAAGTAGTATATGACGTGAGTGTCAATGTAATGTCTGGCAACAGAAGATGAGGGAAGATCAAGAAAGGAAGAGTCTAAAAACACAATGGAATTTGTATGAAATGCATGAATAGTGAGTGACAATGGATTGATGTTTTGCAACAGGAACAGTCCAGTTCGATATGATGAACTGATATTTTGCAAATTAACGATTTACGATATGGTTTTCCAATTTTACTGAGTAACTCTGTAATTTTTGTTAAATACAATTCGGTTGCCCCACCTGTGTTCTCGTTCACTACAATATAAAGTGGCTATGCTTATTAGATCTTGTTTCATAAACAAAGTCTTGAGTAAGAGAGTGTAAACAAGAAAGCCTACCAAAGAATGTCAATCAGTTCAGCGGATATGTTCTTGTTTGAATCAGAAGGAAAAGTGATTTGAGTTTGTCAGTCTCAGCCTCCTAGCTAATTTAAATCTCCTTCCGAATTAGGGATGTGCATGGGAAATGTGCATATCTGTATCTGAATCAGATGATTACGTAACGTGAAACTGCTTTTTTTTCCAACTTAATAAGTATCTTTAACCATGAAGATTATTCTTCTCAATCAATTCTCTCCATGTTTTATAGTTATATACACAAACTGAACATTCAAAAACTAACAAACCGTTTAAAAATTAGAGCATATGAATTGTTTGTGAAATATAATAAAATTGTTCATTTTGTTGTGAAGATTGTTGAGTTTCTGTGAAAATCATGAATTGATCAATGTTAGACTACCGTTAGAAATCTAGAAACACTGGGTGGTCGATTTGTCTTAGTATAGGACTCATCAGTTGTTACCCTGATCCAATGACTAACCGAAAGTCTTGATATAGCGTAGAAAGTGTATTCTACAAACACCCAGCCAGCATACAATTAATCCAAGCACTCAAATTGCGTTTATTTGTACTCCATAGATTCGTCCTTGGGAGAGTCACAAATGTAGCACACTAAAATAACACAGTAACCAATCACAGCCAAGGATTCTCCTAGTGGGAAATAAAATCTCAAGGTCAACCGATCGGTCCCTAAAATATATCTAAAATAAATATATTTATGAAGCGAGTTCTGGGGATCTAACATCCTCATCATTAGTGCACAATCGCTATCCTGCAGGCAAGAATTGAACGCAAGATATTTCATTTCTCGCGTGAAACGGCCGTTCGCTGCTTTCAGGTTTCCAGTGGTTGTCTAACGTTGATCAGTTCATGACTTCAATCAAAATTGTGGACATTGAGATAAGTGATATACATGGGTAATGTGAATACGCTAATACATTGTGTATGTAACAGCCGATTCACAGTTTGACTAGTATCAATGATGAATAATCTGTCGAACAAGGAAGCATAATTAGACCACATGTGATGTTCAGATCGAAATTTATTTCCATAAACTAAAAGGTTAATTGAAAGAAATATGAGATGCTAGCCAGAACAAACCAGATTCCAGTGGAGTAGGAAATCACGAAGAAGCGGTGGAAGTGGACAGGACACATATATTGAGGAAAGCACCCAGCTGCGTCACAAGACAAATTCTCAAGGTTAAAGCGAAAGAGAAAGGCTAAGAAACATAATACTTCGAGAAATGGAGACAAACATGTAAAGAATGAACGACAAGTGGACAGAAATGGAAAGGGAAGCCTAGGACAGAGTAGGTTGAAGAATACTGGTCAGCGACTTATGCTAGATCGGAGGTACCAGGTGTAAGTAATTAGGAAAAGAGATGTTGACGAGCAGCAGAATTAATTTGGTATGCTCATTTAGAACTTTAAACATATAAAGGATTGAGCTTCATAGAGTTTTCGTCACCAAATGAAATCAGCTACCATGCAAAAGGTTAGGTTTATATATCAAGAATAAATCTGTAGTTCTGAGTTACGTTTACAAACTAGAGTTGGGATTTTTACCACGAAATGACATCAGCGAAAATTTAACGTTTTGTTACCCATCTGTCCACAAACTTAAAAAAAACTTACAGACGAGGTTTAGAGTAAGATGAAAAGTGAGTAAATACTAAAAAATCTTGACTACACACTGAGTTACACTAAGTATTTCAAAATGCAACCTTTTTTAGGAGTAGGTTATATTTTGTAATTTAACTTAAACACAGTCTGAAATTCACATTTTTCTTTCATAAAAAAGTATTCTTACTGACCAAGTATTGCCATTACTTACTTCTTCACCAATAATAACTAGACAAGTTATCTATCATTGAACTTCGAACAAAATATATGAAGCATTATCTGAATTCTGATTGGTTAACTCAAGGTCATCAACATATTACACTATTAGCAAGTGAACATGTTGTTAGCCATATTGATCCCGTGGATTTCCTCTTAACTCAATAACAGATGTACACCATCTGCCAAGTTTAGTGTGTACTAGATGTTAACAAAACTTAAAACCGCACCCTGTAATGAGAGCGATTAAAATTCCATCAAACGAAAAACCTGACCACTTTAAAAAACGAACTGAGTGAAGTTTTCTAAAGTTTGAAGGCTACATCAGCTAGAAATTTCAATGGTAATCAATAGCTACTAGATGCAAGTGGTTTGTTGTGGTTTTCAAGGATTCATCAACGTCTAAGATAATGATCACACGTCTAAAAATGACCTGGTTCATGATAGGTTTTTTGTTAATTTTCAATGAGGACCAGGACGAAACAGCCGTCCAGTACTTCCAGGTTTCTAATGATGGTCTAACATTCATCGATTCATGGTTTCAAAAATTTGTAACTTAACAATCTTCCCAACCCCATAACGCACATTCTTGATAAATGCTTTCTTTAACTGAATTACTGTTATCAACAAACCAGTCTTTTTGGTAAATAAACATACTCTAGGCTTGTGAAGATTTTTGACCAGCCGAAGTCAACCCAGTGTTCGGGTGTGAGTCAGTGCTCATTGAAAACAGTGGATGAGGTTGTTTAAGACTATGGTTTAATTGAATTTTAGACATTAACACTGTCCAGAGGTGTTGGGGATGTTAGATCCTCAAAACTCGATTGTTAAATGCCTTATTTTGGGTTTCACGTTTGCCAGCATGGGCCGATCAGTTGACCTTGAGATTTCATTTCCTACCAGCAAAATCCATGGTTGTGATTGGCTGCTGTGTATTTTAGTGTTATTTTCGTAACTGTCCGAAGGACGTTTCTATGATGTATAAATAAACGAGAGTTGTGTGCGTGATTATATTGTGATTGCTGAGTGTTTGTAGAATATACTTTCTATGCTTACCAAATCTTATGTTTTACAGCTTGGGATTCAGGGTAGCCTATCTGAACGCTGGTTGATTGTGTCATTCTCGTTTATCGACCAAAGTGAACTCGTAATAGCTTCAAGCGTACCTAGTTACGAACTTAACAAGAGGTTAGGCGTTTGCGCCTAAGGCCTAAGCTCTCGGATTTGAATCCTGTGATTGGCAGTAGTCGTAGATGCACGCTGCCATTGACTGTCTCCCATACCAGCATGAAACAGCCATCCAGTGCGTTCACATTCCCACTGACCAATAGATAATTTTAAATAAACTGAGTTATTTGTTATATATATATATTAGACAATTATTACAACAGACTAAATGTCAGCATTGAATTATTTTCCCTAAACATACAAAATACAGTGCTCACTAGTGTCTAACTTCTTCGTGAGGAAATTCTTGGAGTTCTAGTTGAGAAGACGTGACCAATGGAGTTCAACCCTGTCAGGTGTAGGCAGTAACTACCAAAGACAAATAGATGAGGTCGCGCAAAATCCCTAGATCAATCAGAGTTAGACATTAACACCGTCGGATGCCGCCAGCCCAGTGGTCCAATGGTAAGGCGTTCGCGCACAACAACGAAGGTCCCGGGTTCGAGTCATGCGAGGTGCAGGGGTCGTGGATGCGCACTGCCACTGATGAGTCTCATACCAGGACGAAATGGCCGTCCAGTGCTTCCAGGTTTCTAATGGTGGCAGTCTAACAATGATTGATTGATGATTTCAAATGTGTAAAAAACGCAAACCTCCAAAATTGTGCCCCAAAATACATTATTATTTAGGGCGTTAAATAATTTAACTTTCTTTTATAAAAAAGACGAAATACAATTTATTTTTTTAATTAACAATAAATTATTTAATAAAATATTTTTTTTTCAATAAAATAACATTTTACCTGCTTAGAAAAGAGTCATTTAATTTTAAATTTTTTGTTTTGTTTTGTTCAAATATAATGAGGTCATTCATTACAAATGGACACCATAAAACACAAGCCAATTTTGGCGGCGTTTTAAATAGAAATTTGTAATATTACATAAGAATAGAATTTTCTAGTGGTTCTGCTTAACTTGGCAACGTTCACAATAGACACACAGTCAGTCATTCAGTCAGTCAGTTGCAACGTAGAACTTCGTACGTATGTACACCAGTTCACGATGTCATACCACATCAGCACAGAGACGCAAATGTCAAATCAAATCCCATAGTGATGGGGATAGTTTAGGGCTATTAATGGTAATGAAGAGGACTAGGGTTTGAAGATATTATTCAAGAAGTATAATTCAGTGAGTGAGATAAGGTTAGAAAGACAAAGGTAGAGGTTCTGACGAATCCAGAAGATTAGGATTTGAGAGAACACAACGAATGGATGCACTTGAGCCATTACAAACGATTTTTGAGCCATATCGTTCAAAGTCTCTAACCATTGGTAACTTTCGTCTCGCGGACCCCAACCACCTAGCCTACATCGACCAACATGACTCAGTCCACTTGTCAGTGACTTCATGGATTTGTGCCATATTTTGGTCTGGCTGCCCCTATCTTTCTTCTAACCTACTCCTACACCACCGAACATAGCTCGTCGAGGCAGTCGGTGGTTAGCCATACGTAATACATGTCCCAACATAGACACACACACGCACACACACAAAGACAACGCAGAGCCTTGTTCTAACATAACACTCACACACACACTCACACTTACCTGAATAAATAGTTTAGTTTCATTTTTGCTATCTTTGCGAAAATCTTCCAATTCTTGTTCTGTATAACCATAAATTTTATTTGTATATTCAGACCAAGTAATTTGACTGTCACCATTTGTATCGTATTCTTTAAAACGTGGTTTTGATGCTTCCATATCAAGTGAACTATAATAATAGATTTACATACGTAAAATAAGCCAGAAGTAAATGATGACCAACAATTAGAAACTTGGAAACAATGGATAGATGTTTTGTCCTAGTGTCGGACTTATCGTGAGTGTGCACTCACGACTCCTGCTACTCACAAGATTTGAGTCTAGGACCTTCGAAAGTTTCTCTGAGATCTAGTGAGAAGTCGTGATCAGTAGACTTGAACTTTGTTCGGCTATGAAGCGGTGCTCACCGCAGACAGTGGATGAGGTTGAGCAATGTGTTACACCACTATTAGAAACCTGAAAGTAATGGACGGCTGTCAAACCCCGGTATGGGACTCATCAGCAATGCACATCAATGACTTCCGCTAATCGCTGGATTCGAACTCAGGACCTTCGGAAAGTTCTCCGAGTTCTAATGTGAAGTCATGACTAGTTCCAGTGTGAGGCAGCGCTCATCGGAGACAGTGGATGAGGTTGCATAAGATCATGGATTAATGACAGTTACACATTAACACCGTTAGATGCCGACCGGCTCAGTAGTCCAGTGGTTAGGTGTTCGTGAGCAAGACTGGAGGTCTCGAGTTCGAATCCTGTTGGGACCTGCTCCTCGTGGATGCACACTGCCACTGATGAATCCCATACGAGGACGAAACGGCCGTCTTAGATCTTTATGATATAAGAACAGATAAAATAGACTTATATTAGATTTTAGAAGGTAGTTATTGTTTGACAAAGATTTCATAATGAGCACCTTTTAGTGGTAAGGAATTTCTGCTATCTAGAGAAATGTGATTCTTCTCAGAGGTATGAACTCTCTTAATAGTCATATGTTAGAATTAAAAAACATTACCATTAGGCTATTTCAAGCATAACTGAATTTTTTTTATGACTTAGGTGATGTATATAACAGTTGATCGTTCAGGAGTAGTCGTGTGTCATTTAGTCGTCATTTCATATCAACTTCAATGATGAGGGTTTGAATCTCTGTTGGAAAGATTCCTTGTGTCCAAATTGATGATTTTTCTGTCTGACAGATAGTGGATAACAAAATATTTCCATTAAACATTACTTCCTGACGATCGCTTTCACATAATTGATATTAAGAAACATTCCTATCGGTGTTTACTTTTATGGGATGACGCTTATTACTGAATAAAAAAGGTTTCCTACTTTTTTCGCAGTATGAAATAAAGATAAAATTTTTTACAAAATTATAGAAATGCTTTTTAGTTTTAGAATAATTAACCTCAACTCATTTAACATTAGTGGCAGTGCGCATCCACGACTCTTGCACCTCACTGGTTTCGAACCTAGGACTTTTGGTTTTGCACGCGAACGCCTAACCTCTGGATTATTATAATTTCTCATTGAGAAATGTTAAAACTAGTAAGAGTCATATTGACACAATTTCCATTTACTGACTTTCGTCTCACAAGCAATACATGGTTGTAATATTGTAATGAAGGAGAACACAGGTGAGGGCAACCGAATTGTATTTATAGAAAATTACAGAGTTACTCAGTAAAATAGGAAAACCATATCGTAAATCGTTAATTTGCAAATCTTCAATTCATCATCAATCCATTGTCTGACATTTCACTATTCATGCGTTTCATACAAATTCCATTATGTTCCCACTCATCCTTTCTCTTGATCTCCCCCCATCTTCTGCTGCCAGACATTACGTTGACACTCGCGTCATATACTACTTATAAGTAGCACGCACCACAATATGTGTAACATGACAGTGATTTTTATGTATAGAAATAAATATGCTAGCTGACAAGCAAAGTATTTTCCATGACTATGGTAGACTACATTAAGTGAGTTGTGTACTGTAGATCAATACCATTGGTGATGAAATACATTCGTCACAGAATCTAAGTAATTTTCAAATGAAATACCTCAAGGTATTAATCTAAAGTCAGTTGAACGTTGAACCAACTGACTGCATGGAATGATGGTTATAGTAGTATACTTTGAACTTAATCGATTCACAGATTGCCACAAAGTTAATGAATGGCATTGTAACAGTAATATGACATGAATGTCATCAGTTACATAAATATAAGTTGGTAGTTTTGATATGCTTGAAGCTTTTGAGAATTATTCTCAATACTCCCATATTTTTTAATGGACATAAGTAATATTATTATTACGAGTTTACCTTAGTCGGAATACGAGAACGAAGATCGAGGATCCGATGACACGACATGCTACTCAAATCCGATTATCCCAACCCCCATACTGGGTAAAAGAAGCAGACTTGATGTGAAGTAGAACCTGGATTCTACAAGCATCCAGAAAGTACGAGGTCCGAGTCCAGAAGAGAATCAGGATCCCTGACTGAGGATCCGGGTCATAAAACGTTACAGATAATGCGTATTTATACATTTAGGTCGAGAAGGAAATAGCATAGAAGTCTGTGACATTGACAGTTAAGACGACCAATAGGAAACAACATTTGAAGTGACATAGATAGTCAGGACAACCAATAAGAAACAACATTGGAGCAGGTGACATTGATATCTAGGACGATCATAAAATTGACCAGTAGGAATTAACCAATAGGAACTGAGCAATAATTCTCTTAGGAAATTCGAGTAATATCCTAACAGACTTCTGTTTGAACTAGCGGATTATGATGATGCGGTACAAAATAACAATGAATAACTCTTCACAGAATACAACAACATAATCCGGCAAACATCCTAAAAATTCATTGAAATCATGAATGAATCATTGTTAGTCTGCCACCATTGGAAACCTGAAAGCACTGGATGGCATTTTCGTTCTGCTTTTGGGACTCATCATCAGTGCACATCAGTGGCCTCTACTATTCGCAGGATTCGAACCTAGAGACTTCGGTCTTGCATGCTAACGCTTCACCTCTGCACCTTTGAGCTGGCCAGCACCCAACGATGTTAATGTCTAACTCTAATCAATCTAGGGATTTTGCGAAACCTCATTTAATCGTGCTAACAGGATTTCGTCAACTGAATTCTCCCTGGTGCAATATATATATATATATATATATATATATATATTTAGTAAACGGTGCTTGTTCAGTATCGTGGATAAAATGTAGTCTGATGACAACTCAGTGGAATAGAGGTCCACCGTTCAAGTGAGAGGTCAGTGGTCCTGGGTTCGATTTCCGCTCACTTAGTTGTAGATGCATATTACTGAGTAATCATACACTAGGACGAGATAAGCATCTAGTGCTTCCAGGTTCTCAATGGTGTTCTAACACCGATCGACTAATCATGCTCAACAGTCTCTACAATCCTATACTGATAACATAGTTTTTGTCACCAACTGACACTAGATGTACTATTGAGGATATGGAATCACTGTTTTGTTTTAGTTCAGGAGTTTTCATCGCCTTTTACACGCAACCTCATGCTAGAACAAACATAGAACCTTCAGTAGTAGTATGGGCAGTACTATATTAAAATAGAAAGATTCAAACTGGGAGTTTGATACTCCTTAAAAACGGTAGATATGTGTATTTTGTACAATTTTTAAACTCATCACTTACATAAACGATTGAATAATCCAATTTTTCAATTCATTTTTATCAATTTTCATATTATTATCAATATCAATTTTGTGAAATAATTTGCCTAATTGTAATTTTGCTTCTTCTGGATCTAATTCTTTAAATTTCTGTGCATATTCATGTGAACCAGTGATGAGATCATGATCATATTCACTGTAATGTTGACCTAGATCATCATAATGACCTTGATAGTTGGAATCATCAAACATTGGTAGATCCGGTTCATCTGGACGTAAATAATGATCGAATTTCATGTCGAAATTAGCATAATCACTGGCACAAAGAATTATTTGATGTATACTAATGAAATAAATCAAAGATAACATGTTCAATGTTGTTGTTTTAATTGGTGAGGATAAATAATTTTGGCAATCGACAAAACAAATGGCAAAACCGCAAAATTCAAATAATGTAATTTTTGTAAATCTATTTCAGGTGAATAATAATAGTTTTAGCAAAAACAAAATTACCATTTAAATACTTTTGATTATAAGAATACGGGTACCTTTATTTGAAAGTTAAATGCACGCTGACGTTTAATTCAACGTATTCTTATTCGATTGGTTAATGAATACGGAGAGGATTTTAAATGATCAATATTTATGTACAGTGAAAATAGTTGTAATGCTAGATTTATAGTAGTACTAAGTGTTCAATTGTCATTGAACTACTAAGATATCTAGCTATACAAGAGATTATGAAGACGTCGACATCTGGAGGAGGCTTCTTCGACACTACGGTGTGCCTGAGAAAATAGTTAACATCATACGGAATTCTTATGATGGATTTAACTTCAAAATCGTGCACGGAGGTCAGCTGACAGACTCTTTCAAGGTGAAGACCGGTGTCAGGCAAGGTTGCTTACTCTCAATCTTTCTCTTTCTCCTGGTCATCGACTGGATTATGAAGACGTCAACATCTGGAGGGAAGCACGGTATCAACTGGACAGTTAGGACGCAGCTGAACGATCTGGACTTTGCAGATGACCTAGCTCTTCTATCTCACACGCAACAACAAATGCAAGAGAAGACGATCAGTGTAGCAGCAGCCTCTGCAGCAGTAGGTCTCAAAATACATAAAGGGAAAAGCGAAATTCTCCGATGCAACTACAGCATGCACCAACCAAATTACGCTTGATGGAGATGCCTTGGAGGACTTTAACACCTTTACATATCTGGGCAGCATCATTGACGAGAAAGGTGGATCCGATGCAGATATGAGGGCACGGATTGGCAAAGCGAGGGCTGCATTTCTACAATTGAAAAATATCTGGAACTCCAAATAACTTTCAATCAAAACCAAAATCAGGATTTTCAATACAAATGTCAAGAAAGTTCTACTGTATGGAGCAGAAACTTGGAGAACTACGAAAGCTATCATCCAGAAGATACAAGTGTTTATTAACAGTTGTCTATGCAAAATACTTCGTATTCGTTGGTCAGACACCATCAGCAACAACGTGCTGTGGGAGAAAACAAACCAGATTGTAGTGGAGGAGGAAATCAGGAAGAAGCGGTGGAAGTGGATAGGACACTTGGAATCCCAATAATAATGAGAATAAAGTAATTCCTATCATGTCAACATCATAAATCAAAAGTTGGAGAATTTTTGCACGATGAACCAACAAACAGCCTAATTAGATTCAACTAATTCCTATTAACTGGTAGTCGTCTTTCTAAGTTTATACACAAATTACCATACTGATTAAATTTGCTTACAATAATTATGATGATAATCTTTTTTAATTAAAAATAAGTAGTTTTGTTTGAAACAAAAGTTGAAAATCGAAATTAATTCAAACGAATACATTGTTTAAATATTTTATAACATGTGAATAGAAAAAAAATTGTTTGATTTAAATAAAATGTTACATTTTTTTAAATGTTAATTGACTTTGTTTGTAAGAAAAATAATGACCAAGAGAAAATAATGTGTTACGCCTGCACGTAAACACGTCAGCTTGATATACTTGAACTATTATTACGAGTTGTTTACCTTAGTCGGACAACGAGAGCTACGATCGAGGACCTGGTGACACGACATGATACTCAAATCCGATTATCCCAACCCCCATATTGAGTAAAAAATAAGAAGACTTGATGTGAAGTAGAACCTGTAAGCATCCACAAGCATCCAGAAAGTACGAGGTCCGAGTCCAAGCGAGAACCAGAATCCCAGACTAGCGATCCGGGTCATAAAACGTCACAGATAATGCATATTTATACATTTTCGTGGAATAGGAAACAGCATCGAAGTCTGTGACATTGACAGATAAGACGACCAATAAGAAGCAATATTTGAAGTGACATTGATAGTCAGGACAACCAATAAGAAACAACATTGGAGTAGGTGACATTGATATCTAGGACGACCATAAAATTGACCAGTAGAAATGAACCAATAGGAATGGACCAATAATTCTCTTCGGATATTGGATGAATATCCTAACATAATGTCACTACAAATTTAAATGAAGATAAAATCTACATTAATTATGTGTAAGTAGTACTGAATAGTGATGGGTATTAAGTCAATTTCTGTAATGATGTTTATGAAACAGCATACAAATAGTAATAGGGATACTACCCAACCCTAACTCAGATCTCGTATCGTGGAAAAATGAAAACTTCATTACCCGACATAGGAGCAAGAGTAATAAAAGTGTTTAAGCCTATTCGCATCAAGCTGGGCTGTCTCTTCTACTATCCTACGACCTATATGTGTACACCATATACTATACTGCTATATAGAGCTGAAGGTTTCCTATGAGATTAGAGGTTCGCTGTGATGAACATTGTGGATGGCTTGGCATTGCTTTGGCAAGCATTGCTAACAGTCCATATACAAAATTGGTTAGCAGGGCGACCGATTTCATTGATATAGGTGGTTGTTTTGCAACATTCCCGAGGGCTATTGTCATTAGGGTGCTGTATTGAATTTTGACAGTCATGTAAGTGGGATGGGTCGAAATGGCCTGTTCATGCGGTGCATATTGATTGACGCGATCATGGATCGAATATAATCACTATATATGTGTATTAATGTATATATAAATGGTGTGAATGCTCCACCAGAATATCAGTTACCACCTGTGTGGTTGCGCCACAGGATTGAGCCGAACTATTCATGCAGAAATGGTGACACGTGAGCAGTCTCCTTGGTTCTCCTGTGAAAACCAATGTAAAATTGCCTTTGACAATAGAGGGTTAATTTATATAATTATGAATCGTATACAAATAGTTATAATAGAAACAATCATAACAATTTTACGTGAAATCATCATTGAATCATCGTTAGACAGCCACCATTAGAAACTTGGAAGCACTGAACAATGGCCGTTTCATCTTGGTATGTGACTTACCAGTGGCAGTGCTCATCCACAACTCCTACTACTCACAGGATTCGAGCCTAGGACCGTCAGTTTTGCGCATGAATGCCAGACCTCTTGATATTAAGAATAGTGAAATAATTCATAAAAATTTCTTCCATTTGTATTCAGCATAAAATAAATGTTGATCTATTCATCCAACTTCACCTACTCTTATCCAAATGACTTTAGTGAATTCTACCCACAACTTTTAAGATCCATTTTTTGAAGGTTTTGTTTGTAAAAAAAAATCCCTCCATGTATACACATTTGTATCTTTCTTCTCATTAATGATTCCTTCAGTTGTACATTTTGCTAATCTGTTCAATTACATTTTTCAGTTGATAATATTTGTATTTTTGATTATAGTTTCTATTTCTTATTTTGCCTTCATTGAGTTTCTATGTTTCTTTCTGAACTGTATTTATGCTGTGTTAAGCTGATACTTAATTAGTCATGGCGACAGCCATATTGATTTGTTCCTCTTTTGATTGTGTCGATTGATTGCTTTGACTGGAATTGTGCATTTTGATTGTGAATTGAAGCACTCTTCCGGAATAGGGAAGACTCCGTGTTATAAAGAAACTAAATATTATCTGTCGAACGAATCGGATCTATCCACAAGGGATAGAAAATCATTTATTTGTTGCTGTTGATTCGGTTATTGGTTTTCGAAGCATTGCTCGTATATCCTGGGACACCCGAGTGAGCAACGCTGTTATTAGGAAACGGGTGCTAGGTAAGAATGGCAGATCAATAGATTAAGTAATGAAACTTCATCAGTTGAGGTGGTTGGGACATGTGCTGTGTATGCCTAACCATCAACTGCCTCGACGAGCTATGTTTTGTAGTGTAGGAATAGGTTGGAAGAAAGCCAGGGGAGGCCAAATCAAAACATGGCAGAAATTCATGAAGTCATCGACAAGTGGACTGAGCCATGTCGGTAGTTGTCGACTACCTGGTTGGGGTCCGCGAGGTGATATTTATCGATGGTTAGAGACCCTGAATGACATGACTCAAAACCATTTGCAATGGCGCCGGTGCATTTATTCTTTGTGTTCTCTCAAATCCTAATCTTCTGGATTCTTCAACCCCTCTAGTTTTTTTCTTTCTAGACTTGTCTCATACTTGAATAATATCGTCTAATCCTAACCTCTCCGATTACTCCTAATACCTTTACTAACCCTTCTACTTTTGGATTTGAATTGACAATTATATCTCTGTGCTAATAATGTGGTATGGCAACATGAACTGATGTACTTACGTACGAAGTTCTACGTTGCATCTGACTGACTGACTGACTGCTGTTGATTTGAATAATTGAACAATTGTTAGTGGAATAACTAAGTGGTAATATTTGCTTAGGTAATGATGTATATATTTATATTTATGATGAATATGTGAACTGTCAGTTACCCAAATCACTTACTTTGATTTCGACTGGACAATAGCGCGTATCTAACCTACCTAGACAGTTATGCCTCAGTTCAAACCACAGTTTGTATCCTACACAGCTTACATTGCAAAACAGACTGAACACAAATAAACATCTCTACTGCATATTGACAAATTTATTTATTTAGTTAATACACAGAATCCACATTGACCTAAATAAACAAAATAATATTGATTTGGTGGGAGTGATTTTATTTTCTGTACTCATTAAAATTTTGTGTTATTTATAGACACGCTGAATAATGAATGATAAGAGAATTAGGCCAAGCCGACAAGAATGTCAGACATTTCTTTCATTATTAAAAATTCATCTGATTTGAATTGATTCAGTCAAAAAATTTGATTGTGATATTGATCAGAATGAAAATGTACATTGTAATACAATGTATTGATTATTGACTCATGTTTAGAACTTTCTCTACAGCCGTTTTTGGAGTGACTGTCGGTTCTAAGCTCGGATAAAGGAGGAGGGTGAGAGATCCCATCCAGTAAAAACCCGACTCCCTAATAAAACACTAACCAGAAAAATAATTCACTGGCCGATGCTCTGTAAGAGGTGACAGGCGTAAGTAAGTAAGTAAGTAAGTCATGTTTACAAATTAACAGGGAAACTGTTGGGGATGTTAGATCCTCAAAACTCGCTTGTTAAATGCCTTATTTTGAATTTCAGTTTGTGAGCATGGGCTGTGATCAGTTGACCTTGAGATTTCATTTGCCACCAGCAAAATCCATGGCTGTGATTGGCTGCTGTGTATTTTAGTGTGCTATTTTATTGTGACTGTCCCAAGGACGTTTCTATGATGTATAAGTAAACGAGATTTGTGTGCTTGATTGTATTGTGATTGCTGGGTGTTTGTAGAATATACTTTCTACGCTTACAAAGCCTTTTGTCTTCAGCGGGGGATTCAGGGTAGGCTACCTGGACGCTGGTTCATTGTCTCGTTCGCGTTTTTCGACTAAGGTGATCTCGTAATAGCCTCAAGCATACCTAGTGACGAACCCTACAGAAACCGTTTGGTATATGTACTCAAATGGATATTGATTTCGTGTCAGTTTAGACCTTTGTCAATAGTGTTAAAAACTAAAGTGATGAAGAAATTTGAGTCATTGTTTATTCACTTCAAAACTTATATTAAACGTCCTTGATCTTCACTTTTATTCATTCATGAATAAATGTTACGACAGAAAGATCACGATATCTTCGGTTAGAGTTTTGGAGGTTTTGTATGTTTTTACACATTTGAAATCATCAATCAATCATTGTTAGACGACCACCATTAGAAACCTGGAAGAACTACTGAACGGTTGTTTCGTCCTGATATATGGGACTCATCAGTGGCAGTGCGCATGATGATATTGATGGTTTGTTAGTTCAAATCGATCGATCAACTCCAGAAATATGGTACAACGTGACTTTTCAGTCATTTAATCCAAATATGTTCGATGAAAATGTGTTTACAGTGCAGTGTAGTAAAAAATGACACTACCTACTAATCAGTGATCATCTTGATTTAATCAAGATAAGTTTATTGAAGTTTAACTCCTACACCGAAACTACCGAGGTCTGTTTCAAAAGCAATGACATCTGATAAGGATCACGTCATCTCACAAACTGCCTTAACTTATAAATGACTGCCATTAGCTATCTAGTAGTATGGAAATTGTTTTAATCGGTGGAGATAGTAGAGTGGAGTTCATGTTGTGTAATTGTTGAATTCATTGAACTAGGAAAGAACAATTCACTAATGCCTACTGAAAATAACTTTCGAATTATCAGTATAAGGTTGTAGAGATTGTTGATCATTTTTAGAACACCATCATTGTACGCTCATCTTATCTTAGTATAGGACTTATTAACAATGCGTATACTACTGTGGTGCGAGCTACTTATAAGTAGTATATGACGTGAGTGTCAACATAATGTCTGGCCGCAGAAGATGGGGGAAGATCAAGAAAGGAAGAGTTAGAAGAACACAATGGAATTTGTATGAAACGCATGAGTAGTGAGTGACAATGGATTGATGTTTTGCAACAGGAACAGTCCAGTTGTATATGATGAACTGATATTTTGCAAATTAACAATTTACGATATGGTTTTCCTATTTTACTGAGTAACTCTGTAATTTTCCTTAAATACAATTCGGTTGCCCTCACCAATGTTCTCCTTCACTACACTACGACCTCTTGGGAGGGAACTTGAAGACCAACAATCTCGCATACAAACCCACAGTGTTAACCTTTAACTTTAAAAAAAAGACAATAACAATTTGGTTGTACATAAAAAATCGATTTTTTTTGTGCTCAAAACATCCAATGATTGTTCGTTTTGTTTATTCTCACTGATCACATAGTCCATCCACCTAAGAGTGTTACAGTCGACAATAAAATGAAACACTTCAGAAAAAAAAGAAGAAAACACGTTCACTGACGACGACGACGACGAACGACGATACACACACACACACGCACGCGTATTTGACAGTGAACATGTTATGTTTTATATTTATTTCTGTCTATAGACAATCCATTCATGCTAGTTTCTTTGCTGTGAAACTTTGTATTAATTCAATAGGTAATGGAAAGATAATTGTAGAATTTTGTTCTGTTGCAATAGTGGCTAATGTTTGTAAATAACGTAATTGTAAAGCAGTTGGTGATCTAGCCATTTCTTCAGCAGCTTTACGCAATGTCGAAGATGCTTCCAATTCACCTTGGGCTGCAATTACTTTCGCTTTAGATGCTCGCACAGCTTGTGCTTCTGCAGCCATAGCACGTTGCATTTCTTGTGGCAATGAAACATCTTTAATTTCAACTCGTTCTACCTATATTATATAATTTTTATAGGTGGATAACAAGAAAAAATTAACAATTAGGAAATAATAATATATTAAGTGGAAAGTTTTAAAGTTATTGATGTTAAAATTTAATTATCGATAACCAGTGTTATGTTTGCTTGGTCCTTTGATGTGGAGTACATTCGACAGATCAATCGATAATGTCATGTATTCGCTTGTTTAAATGACCTTACATATTTGTTGTTAGATAGATGAAGAATAATCCGTAGGTGCTGCCTAACTAGAGTAAGAAACGGGAGTAATAACTCCTTGTTGTTGGTGAAGCCGATCCAACTGTTCGTCTACTGTTGTTAATGTTGCATAAGTTACAGGTCTGTTTGGACGTAAAGCAGGCTTAGCCTCAGGTTTCAACCGAAGTGTTGCTTTCATGGCAGTGCACCGACCTAATCCAGGTTGAAAAATGGTTGAAGACTGTTAGTCATCAGCTTCTTCGTATATGCTTCAGGGTCATGTGGTTGTAATACCAGGTGGCATATGGTTTTGTAACGGGACATCAGCCAATTTTAGCTGGTCAAACTAATCTAAACTAAGTAAATTTAGATCAGCTGGCGTTATATAACATACCCCAGTAAATGACGAGTCTCGGAAGGTAACTTTACATTCCAATTGTCCTAATAGACGAAGGTAATTACCACATACTGTACGAGGCTTCTGTGTTGTGTGCTGCAGGCTTACGCTACCCAGTTTGGTCCAATTTTTGCGTGAGAGGATAGTGACATCAGATGCGGTATCTATTTGCAATCTACACAAATGCCCGTTAATATGTTAGTTAGCTTGCATCAATATGGAATCTATGTATCATAGAGGAACCGAATAAAATCAAGTAAATAATATATGTGTGAATATAGGAGTGGAGGTGGAAATTAGGAAGAAGCGCTGAAAGTGGATAGGACACATATTGAAGAAAGTATCCAATTGAGTCACAAGACAAGCCCTCGCTTAGAACCCTGAAGGTCAAAGGAAAACAGGAAGGTCAAGGAACACATTACATCGAGGAATGGAGACAGACATGAGAAAAATCAAGAACCGTTGGATAGAACTGGAAAGGAGGGATCAGGATAGAGTAGGTTGGAGAATACTGGTCGGCGACCTATGCTCCACTGGAAAAAACAGACGTCAGTAAGTTAGTAAGTGCATAAGTAGGCAAGTAAGTAAGTAAGTAAGTAAGTAAGTAAGTAAGTAAAAAAGTGCATAAGTAAGTAAGTAAGTAAGTAAGTGAGCAAGTAAGTAAGTAAGTAAGTAAGTAAGTAAGTAAGTAAGTAAGTAAGTAAGTAAGTAACTAAGTAACTAAGTGCATAATTAAGTAAGTAAGTAGGTAAGTAAGAAGTAAGTAAGCAGGTAAGATGTAAGTACGTGCATAAGTAACTAAGTGCATAATTAAGTAAGTAAGTAAGTAAGTGAATACAAGTCACGTAAAATGCTGAATGTCATATTTGATTGATTCACGTTGGTTCTTTGATCATTCGATTAGACATGAATAAACTCGATCACAAGCTGACATTTAATTTCAGCTTGAAAAATTCCCAAATCAGACATTTATTTTATGAAAATATCATCAAAGGTTAGTTAATAAGAAGTCATTAACTAATGTACTCTTTCACAAGAATCTTAATACAAATAAAGTTTTATTTCAGCATCAAACGAACATTACGAATGGTAATTTAATACTCAGATGAATCAGTTAAGGTCAGAGATCACAACCTTTTTCCTAAAACGATTTGTCACGTGAACGGATCATCCTACCATACATCAAAGACATATCGGAACACACAGCACGACTACTGAGACCATTTGGAATAGGAGGTGTGGCACACAAACCAACAGAATCACTTCAATCAATCCGATGTAGACACCAAAGGATAAAATGAAAAAGGAAGAAAAGCCAAATACCATCTACAAAATAAACAATTGCTCAGACTGTGAAAAACACTACATAGGACAAAGTGGACGGCCTCTCCAGCTTAGCAGTCAAACGCCACGACAACTCTTCGCTTATATCGATACATACGGACAATTTTGGACAAACATTCGATTGGAACAATGTGGAAATACTGGATAGGGGGAGGATAAAGAACACTAGAGAATTTTTAGAAGCCTGGCACTCAGGTCAATCAGCAATCAATAAACACATCAACATTGACCCGATTTATTAACCAATCAGAAAAATCATAGGTGACATAGGATCAAGAAAGAGATCAAAAAGGGGATACAATCAAAACAAAGGTGCATTGACAACGACAGGTTTAAGGTCAACAACAACCAATCAGGATCGAGGTTAGCAGAACAAGCTACAGGTCAGTTGTGGAGAAATTCGAATGCTTCACTTCAGCTATCTGAAGTTTGTGCTGATGATGTTGTTCAGAAGAAGAACAATGAAAGCTCCACAACCAAAAAAACACCCAGCTTAGAGAACGAAACACCACCACAATAGATATATTTCCAGTAGAGTATCTAAACATTTATTTACAATATACATCTAGTTCTATGGACAGATACCAAGTTGAGTTTGTATAAATTTTTCAGATAAGAGTCATACAATCAATACATAAATTACCTTAATTCCCCATTCACCTGTAGCTTGATCTAATAACATAGCTAGCTTTGCATCAATTTGATCACGATTTGTCAATATCTGTGATAATTCATATGTTCCCAATACTGAACGTAATGCTGTGACTGCCAACAATTCAGCAGATTTCGCCGCATTTTCAACTCGTAACAAAGCAGCAGCCGGTTCAATCACACGCATAAATACAACAGCATCAACACCGACAGTCACTGCATCACTTGTCAATATCTCTTGTGGTGGTATATTCACAGTTTTTGTACGTAAATCTATACAAATCATTTGATCTGCACATGGCATAACAAATTGTAATCCAGCGCCTAAAACATATTTTCCACCAGCACGTTTTAAACGACCAAAACGTAAAATAATCGCTCTTTCGTAAGTTTTCACTGTACGAATTGCAAAAAATATTGTTATTGGAAATGTACAAATAAATAGTATAGTGATAAGAATGAATAAGATGACACCGCCTACACCAATACCTTCCTCATCTGGTTCCCAACGTTCTTCACGATTCCGTTCATTCGGTTGTTGTTCAATGTTTACAATTTCTACAGTTGATAATTCTCTAGATGACATTGTTGACTGTTATTTCATGAATACTTCATAGAAAAAAAATTACAATGATCATTGAAAATAAAATTAAATAATGAATGAAGTATTGTTCTTTGATAAAACAAATTAATGCTTTCATCTGATTGGTTGAATATGACAACAAATCAAATTTTTAAAATTTCGGCATTCATTTTAAACCAATCAAATTGAAGAAATTGTTAATACAATTTAAATTGTCATGACAATGCTGCCTTGGAATAATACAGTTAGTAAACTAACTACCTAGATGTAGGTTGGTTAATTTTTATCACAAAAAAATAAATTTTCAATGATCAGGTCATTGTTTAAGTTTCATATGGAATTCAACATTTGATATGATCAATGTTGTGTATTAAAAGGTTGACCGTAAACAGCAGTACTTCATTTAAAATTTTGGTAATAAATAAAAATAATTATAAAAAAAAATGAAGTTGGTCACTTATTGTTGTATTGATTAGTCACTTATGTTGTAACAACTGTCATACTAATTTAATTCTGTGAATCAAAAGTGGACTATAGTCGCTAAGTCAGTTAGTCAGTTAGTCAACAGTGACATAGAACTTCGTACGTACATCATTTCAAGTTGTCATATCACGTTAGCACAGAGGTGCAATTGCCACATCCAATCCCATAGTAGTGTGGTGCGAGCTACTTATAAGTAGTATATGACGTGAGTTTAAAAGTAATGTCTGGCAGCAGAAGATCGGGGAAGATCAAGAAAGGAAGAGTTAGAACACAATGCAATTTGTATGAAACGCATGAATAGTGACAATGGATTGATGTTTTGCAACAGGAACAGTCCATTTCGGTATGATGAACTGATATTTTGCAAATGAACGATTTACGATATGGTTTTCCGATTTTACTGAGTAACTCTCCATTTTTCGTTAAATACAATCCAGTTGACCCACCTGCGTTCTCATTCACTACAGTAGTAGACGTAGTAAAAGTATTAGAAGTAATCGGAGAAATTAGGGTTCGAAGATGTTAATTAAGAAGTATGGATTCAGTGAGGTAAATTTAGACAGAGAAAGATAGAAGTGATGAGCAATTCATAAGGTTAGAATTTCATAGAAGCTGGACCATGTGATTCAGGGTCTCTAACCATCGATTACTATCATCTCGGCGATCGCAACCAGTTAGTCGACACCTACCAACATGACTCAGTCCACTTGTCAGTAACTTCATGGATTTCTGCCATGTTTTGGTTTGGCCACAGTCACTAAGTCAAATGAATGGTCATCATTACATTGACTCTGATTTTCAATGTTAAATGGTTATAAAGAACCTAAAGAAGACCCTGAATTTTTGTTTTACTATTCCTGTAGCTCATCAACATATCATATCTATGACAGTAGATGAATTCGTGTTCATTTAGAGGAAAGCAACAGATTTGTTAACTTATAAGCCTGTCTGCTCATATTTAAACGACAGTGTTAAGTATTTTATTCTAGAAACTTTTGTACACTGGTGAGCGAATGGGCGACTAAAGCGAATCGTATGAAGCGATGTGGAGAAGTAGTGAATAAAACGAATGAAACGACGTGAACTGGATAAGCGCCTTGGAGAAGGCTAATGAACCAACTCAAAGAGATAGAGCGTGACTAAGAATATATAGTCAGACAAATATAAGACAGACATGTGACAAGCGAAATAGGCATGCACACACATGAATAAAAGCGACGAATAGTTGACAAGGTCAAATGACAAGTGGGACACGTCATGTGAGCTCCTCATACAAACCAGACAATAATAAGAACGGATGGTTCATATAAATTATTGCAATACAAATGGCTTAGTTAAATAAATTAATCGGAAGCGCTTAACCAAGTTAGATGTAATCGAACTGGAATATATATGGAGGCACTACACTTTAATAACAGAGGACAGTATGTGATGGTATTACAACAAAATACACTTTTGTAAACATGTTTCTTGAGTAATAAGACGGAAATCCATGAGTCCTCCCAATCAACAGTTCACTATTATCGAATTCAAAATCCCAGTTAAATATTGAACAAAAGTTTTGACTAGTGTGCGATTATCTTTATACTAAAGCTTAGTTATTAAGAATCACTAAAAACAAATAAATTACTATAGTTCAGATCATATTTCATTCCTACTTTTAGGAAGAAAGTAATTTGTTTGATCAAATAATGAACAAATGATTGAACACGTTGCTTAGAACGAGTCTATTCAGTATGTATATGTATGAATGTTTGTTTGTTACTTGGCCACTGTAGAATCCTTTTTGGATGTTTTGTTTTTTGGAAAATCCCTCCATGTTTACATATTTTTGTTATGACATGACGGACTTTTTCTGTTGGCATTTTGGTATTTTATTTGATTCCAATTTGAGATTTTATCATTGTATATTGTTACTAT